TGTGGGAAAGTTTATAGTTCATTGCCTATACCCATAACTGCTTACACCTTCATTCTTAGGATGTATGTTTTTTTCCTTCTCTCCCTTGTCATTTTGTGACAAAAACAGGGAGTGGAAATTCAAAATTCAACTTTTTTTTGATTTATGACTCAAAAGCATTTCATTATTTAAATAAGTTTGATGTTTTATTAGCATCAAAGTGTCTTCTTGGTATGTTGGATTGCATTGATATTATATCTTGATTTAGCATGCATGATTGAAACTGAATAATATCATATGGTTCTAGATTATTTAAATTATAAACTGCTTGAACTATTTATTGCGTTGTTTTCCACACATTTTACACTGGGTATTGAGTTATTTGTTTCAGGAAACATGTGTTGATTAAAACTGCAGAATTGTTTAAGTCAGTTAATTTGTCCTAGGTTTTGAGTCTGTAATTTATTTTTTGATTACTGCCTTGACTTAGTTAGCAGTTTTGTCACAGAATGTCAAATTGAGAGTTTGTTAGGTTTTCGATATTTTGTAATTAGTTATTCTGTAAACAAAATAACTGAATTGTACTATGTTGAAAAAGTCAATGAGTAATGTACAAATATGGGAAAATAGGGTTTTTAGGGCTAGGATTCGAGAATAGCAAAAATGAGAAAATAGCTCGAATTTTCCTTAGACTGTCCCCAAGGTTGTATCGAGCTACAAAAGCAGAAACCTCATCGTTGGACTGTCGCTCATCCTTCGCTCGAGCGACATGCTATTGCTGAGCTGTCGCTCGAACGATAGCTTTATTCGGGAAATTTTTAAAGGCTTTTTCCATGGCCCATTTGTTTTTCTGACTTACATATAAATACCAAAACATATTTGTACGTTTTTTGAGAGGTTGAACATTGAGAGAGCTACATCTGTTGAAGATTCATTCAATTTCTACTTTCAACTTTCATCTTGTGAGATTTTTTTGGTGAGAAAAACATCAATTCCATAATCCAAATACCAAACCAATTTTCCTCTACATTTGATCAGAGTTCTGAAGATCGAGAAAGTTTGACTGAAGTTCCAGTCGGTGAAGAACGCGGTGTTTTTCGTAGATCCATAGGAGATAAACGATTTCACAAAATTAGGAGTTACTGCAGGAGGGCAGAATCCAGGAGAGTTTTGGAAACTACAGCTGTGAGTGATGCATGAGTACAAAATC